GACATCCCAGCCTTTTCACAGCCACATGGAGCAGGCTGCAGCCATTCCCTGAGGGGAGGAGAACTTTTTCCTGAAGCGCTTAGTCCCAGAAGACACCTTTGTATGTTGTTTCTTCTCTGCCATGTACCTCAAGTTTCCTTCCAAACATTCCAGGCAGCCAGCCACCCACTACTTCCCTCTTAAGGTCCCAGATCACTGGGTCAAAGCAGCCAGTTCTGTTCATGCAGACAGCAGACCAAAGAGCTCAATGAGGCAGCGACTCTGCGGCACAGCTCTGACACATGGCAACACCAGTCTCACTCCTTCACATGAAAAACAATCAAAACCACACGCCCACTGAGCTCTCCAGCATATTGGTGGGCACCCATGTGGCAGGGCATACAGCCCATTTTTTGATCCAGGCTACTCATACCCATTCCACTTAGGGCAAAATGTTTAGTTGCTGTATCTAGGCTTTGTGAAAGGCTGAAACCCCACATTCTTGCCTGTTGGAAGACTTGGTCCAGGTGTACTGGGGTCCTCTTCCTCCCAGTAGGGCCACTGTTGCTATTAGGAACTGAGACTACTTAACGTCACAGCTAGGTGTAACCATGAGGCTTTTCTTTCCATCATCCATAATGACAAGGACCAACTTCAAACACTCCAATTCTGGCACAGCTACACATTTGAAGAGAATATGCTTGCTGGCTCCTTTAAAGGGAAAGTTTACCCACACACAAATCCTCACTGCATATTCCTCAAAGAGCCAAGCCTTGAAGAACAGCTCCTTTCAAAGGTGGCTATGCAAGCTATTTTCATCACTCTCTGCCTACATGTCAGCTCTCAGAACAGGAGGAGACTGCAGCCCAGGAAGCTGCAGACTCACCATACTTGTATGAACTGCTCTGCACCCCTAGCTTCAGCACAAGAGCTATTCCAGCCTCCCTGACCTTTCCCGATCCTATCTTGAACATCCAGTCACTTCTTTGTCACCCAGATCTTTCCAGCCTGTTGCAGAGTGGCATCTTATTAAGGGAAAAAACAAAGCATTAGGTCAAATTCAGCACGTGAACAGCAGCATTTTCCATCAACTGCACTTTCCCCCTCCTGTAACAGTGGGGTCTGGCCTCACCTCAGCAGAAATACTGTGTGTTGCAGCACATCTTAGTAGCTTATTTCTTAAGGATGAAGCTGGATTTTAGGGGCTCCTACTGAACTTCACCTGCACTTTTCACCAGGGATTTCTAAAACCTTCCTTGCTCCCAGCTACAGCCCAGAGTGAACAAGCAGGCCACTCTAGCTTTTAAAAGCAATGCTTGTTTGCAGATGGTGTGATGTTAATAGCGCATTCTTGCTCCAGCTTCATTTTACTCTCTCCTCCCAAGTCTCTCTGTGGCACCACTTAGGGTAGTGGCTTCCCACTTATCTGTGTCAACAGTCTTTTAAACACACAGCTGCACTCCTTAGTCAAATAGCCAAAGCTGCACAGAAAACATTTTGCATGTCCTCCATTGCATAATCACAGCCCAGAGCTTACATCCAAGAAAGATCCTTGATGTCTCATCCTCAACTGAAGGGTGTGGCCCCTTCCTGGACTAGAAAAATCTTGTTTCAAATAGGCAACATACACAGCAAGCTGTTGACAGCCCCCCAGTCCTCAAGAGCCAGGAAATTCATGCATGCTTGTGAAATGAATGTAAGGCTGAGTCACACATGAGTGCCCTGCCACAAAGACCAGAGGCTCACTCATTCCACACTGTCTGCATATGTAGCAGGAAGTCTTGCTTTTGCATCAGCAACACTCATCGAGCAGCACAGCTCATCTAGCTCTAACCATATCACCAGGCATAGCTGCTAGCTACAGCCCTGCTTCCGTATTTACTGAATCCTTATCCAGGACAACACCCTAGCCACCAAGAAAGCAGTCTTGTAATGGTGGAAAAACACAGCAGTTCTCCCTGGTAACTCTGGGAAGAGCAGTGGAATGGTATACTGAGGCTGGCAGCATTAATCTAGACAAACCCATGCAGGTTTGGAGGACTGCCGAGTCCAGTTTACTGTCAAGCACAAAAAAGTGTCCAGTATGTTCTCAGAATACGATAGTACAGTCAATTGAAAATGGCAAGAATACATAAATGTACATTTTCTTGGGCTTAAGGCACTAGGAGTTTTACCTCTTCAGACATCTGTTCCAGACTATTGCCTAGGAACAAAGCAGCCAAACTTGGAAACTAAACATACTTTGCTAGTAATAGAATCAGAAGGTACACCAACAGAAAGGCGAAACTGAAAAGGCAAAAATGCCCTACCTTACACTTCCAAGGTAGGACTGGTATTGTGTTCCAATGTTGAATACACAGGCAAGTCTTAGCTTTGAAGTCTAAAATGAAGCTTGAAATTTTTTAAAAGAATCTTCAGGTAAAACGAGGTAACAAAAGAAAGAACCTATCCCAGCCAGTGACCATCCTCTTTTCTACAACTCCTAAACTCTCCTTTCTGTACCTGCAAGCTAGACTGCCACTTTTCAGATCATAATCTGGTGACTACTACCTGAGTAAGGCAGCAGCAAACTTCTAAAGCAACTGTCATTACCGTCCCACACCATGCAATTTTCCAGCCCCAAGAATAACCCAGTTGCATTTGACAAGAGTCCTTGTATCCAGACAGTGCTCCTTTAACACAGCAAAAACTGACACCTTGGTGATGTTATGAAATTCCTCACATTTTCAAACACAGTGCAATATCCAGAAGTGAAGAATTTACACTTTATTGTACTCATTTACATCAATCAAGAGGATAGTTTCCACCACTTATCTAGCTAGCTTGTTTAGATTTTTATTTTTTTAAGTAGAAAAGTTACAGGCTATAATTTAGCTGAAGCAGTCATGCTTCAATGTCTCCACAGCTGAAGTTTAGACTAGACTTTTAATGGTCTCTTCCAGCTTTTCTTTATTGGCCCCAGAGAACTCCTGCACCTGTAAAGAGAGATTGAGTTTTAGATCTCTTGCATTCAATGCTTCATTGCATTAGTTGCACAGCATCCAGACACATACATATACATCTATTCAACTCTGCTACCACCAAAACATTTTCACCCCCAAAACACAAGTACTGTGCAGATGTTCATCTATTCATCTCCCACGCAACTCATGTAAAAATTGGTACAAGAGTCTGTCACGAATCACTTCCAGACTACCATTGTTGGAGCCTTCTACACGTAAAACAAGGGAAAAGACAATGGTCTTCAAACCCGAACCAATGGTATGTTAAGACTCCAATACAGGTTTGAAGAAACTGGAGGTCACCACATAGCAGAGGTAGCTCAAAGTTACCTCAGGCTGCTCAGAACCCCTACCAATCAAATTCTGGAAGGACCGCTCCAGATGACCTGTCCCTGAGCCTGGCTTCTCCTGAGAGAATTGTCCTTGTTGCAATTTACACAGCAGAGACAAAGGCAACACTCATGTCTCAAACAGCGTCTCTGTCTTCCAGTAACTACAGGGGTGCGAGGTACAGAGCAGACTACACTACAGGCCATGAAACTGCTCGCCCAATACTCATGTGTCCAGAGACTGCCAAGGTCACCCAAAATAAAAAGTCACACTACATGGTGAAGCATATCACCTTCACACACTGTCACATCATTATCTCAATTCTTCCAATTACATTATGAAGCTATGGAAGTTCACCCTGAGAAAGCTGTCAAAGGTTCATTATTAGTCAGGATTTGGCCCCATACTGAATTGAACTGAAGTTCGCCCAACATCTGACGCTCACTTTTCAAGGAGCAATGCCATTGCCTTCAGCCATGAAACTTCCATCCAGGTACTGGTTTACTTTAAAAAAAACCCCTATTTTCAGCTTGCTGGGCAAACTAAAAGGCCAAGATAACACATTTAGCTCAGTAATTCAGGCAGTAGGCACTCACAGCTACCCTGCACAGGCAGCCCACTACACTGTCAGAGCATGGTCTGCATCCCATCTCATCTACCTCTTGGCAGAGGAGGCACAAGAGGTCTGTTCAGTCCTCTGACAGGGACAGGACCTCCATTTTACAGGTTACACAGCCTCTATGTAAAAGCATCCATGCAGTTGTTTCAGCTGTGTGCTTATGCAACCACATTAGAGACTTCTGTTCAGGTACACAGTCATGTCTCTGCTCAACTGTAAGCTGCATCCAGAAAACAAATACTAACCAAGAGCAGTAAAAAGCAGGGTGCTAAGCAGACAGACTAGCAGTCTTAACCCAGACATCTAACCCCACTGATGTCTCATGAAGCTCTGCCTGTAAGACTGACCCATAACACTAACTCAGCTCACTACTTATGAACAACAGGGTTTGCTTCATCAGTTATTGCTGGTCCATGTCACATTTGCTGCAGCAGCAAGGTGAACTTGTTCACTCTCAGGCATGTCTTAATGCCAATGGTGCCCCAGGTACATTATCAAAAGAGAGCAGGCTATGTAGTCTAACATTCCCAATCTTCATTCAGGTGTATAGCATGCCTGCTCCAAGTTCCAAAAGAGCAGAGCCTACCTTCTTTCCACTCTTGTAGAACTGGAACGTTGGCATACACTTCACATCGCAGTGTGTAGCAACATCCTGGAAGAGACAGAAAACAATCTTCAGCTGCGCATGTCTGAAGGATGTCAAAAATTAGAACCCACCAGCTGTCCTTTGTTTAAGTGATAGGGCAAAGCCATCACTGCTCAAAATGAAGCAAAAGCACTTCCAGTAGTGCATCATTAACAAAAACAGTGCAGTGTTAACACCTCCCTGAAATAAGCCTGAAAGATCCTCCCTTCAGCATTTAATTTATGCAACAGCAAACACATATACTATGCCTGTACTCTGTGTTTGGAAAAAAAAACAGATCTCTGCATCAAAACAGATGTGACTATTTGTAAGGCTCAAGAGCCCTATGGCAACTCTTGTGTTTCAACCTGACATTGTTCAAGTACCTATTCAACATTGCTGGAACTGGTACACAGCAGACATTTTATTGCACTTCATTCAAGACATGAAAGAGGAAACAGTGCCAGGAGCAGTGGACAGACCAGACAGATCACCAGACAGTTGTGAGCCATTAGTTTTAGGGAAGACTAGATCAAAGCAGCTTAAGGCCTTAGACTAACACCCCTTCCCAAAGCAGAGGGTCAGTGTTCAAGATATCCAACATATGCCATAAGGCTTCAAGTGTGCAGGTGACCGTGGCAGTTTGTTCTGTTGAGGTGTCGTCTAAACAAATAAAACATTCTTTCCAGTCTAAGTGCTAAACCCCTATCTCTGCTTCTCAAGGTTGAGGTAATCTCTCATTTTGTTTCAGTATCTGCAAAGACGTTTTAAAAGGACTTCTTCATTGTCACTTGTGTGGAAACCATTAGCTGCCCTCTCTCAGCGTTACCCTGGACCATACCTGGGCATCATCCACATCAATTTCGATGAACACCACATCACCATACTTCTCACACAAACTCTAGAATGAAATAAAAAACTATACAGTTACAGTGTTCCAGGAAATGTTTCTTTTAAAAAAAGACACATTAATGTAAGTTGTAAGGCTAGTGCTGTGCTCACCCCTTGCCTTGTTACCTTAAAGCAGCTGTTTTAGTGACGAGAGCAAAGGTTTTATTTTCTGCTCCAATACCTGAAAGAGTCTGTTGAAACTTGCTCAAACATACTCCCCACAGAGAAGATTCAAATGTCCCAAGACATAGGTGAGAGGCCTTCTCTTACAGCCTTCAGCTGATCATCAAAAGATGCTAAAACTTCTCTCACACTTTACCAGGAAATAACATTGCCACCTAAACCCATCTGGAGTGATTACAATAACTGTGTACAGAAGGATAAGCATTGTTTCTAATCCATAACCCACCTCTTGAGGCAACACAACTCTCGGATCCCTTTAGACCCGATATGCATGTAAGCATTAGGATCGCAAGAAGTTAACCACATTTGAGCTAACAGCTATATCAAAGGTCAGTATGTTTAACTTTATAGTCTCAAAGTAGACACTTCTGTGACTTACCCCTTTTCCAGAAAATGCTGATAATCATGTATGGCAAGAGGAAGCTTCCTCCATTTTCTCATCATACAGCACAAAAAAATTTTCATATATACTTTAATACAGTTGCCAATATAAACAGAAAGGCTACTTACGTGGAAAAAGGGCTTGATCATTTTACATGGTCCACACCATGTGGCAGAGAAATCAACTACTATAAGCTTCTCACCAGCAGACTGCAGTTCTGCCTCAAATTCAGACTATAAAAAAAGGAATTGAACACATTAATGATTTTCCCCCTCCCTTCCAAAACAATTTAGACTAATCTCAAAGCTAGCTTGCTCTCAGCCTTCACATACTAACCATTCTGGTAGCTCTTAAACACTTCCCATACCTGGGGTATTTGTACCATCATGTAAATGCTTCAGTATGAATTCCTTTCATCAGTGCTAGCATCAGCCAGTGTCTTATAACTCTTCCTTTAGAAAAGACCACAATGCTCAGTCACTCCAACTCACTGAATTGTGGAAACATAAGCTAGAAATTCATCTAGCCTACAATCCTCAACTCTGGCAGCTCTATTTACTGTTACCCCCTGAACATGATCCTTATGGTTTTTAATAATCTACCTTCTCATTTGTCTTGGCAGGATGACATCCATTCTCTTCTGAAGAGACTTTCCTCTACAGAATTTAAAAAGGACACAAACAAAAAGTACACTCCTCCAGTTTGATGCTTTTTCCAATCAACAGCTAACATCAAAATGATGTTGTGTTGTTTACAGCACATTTTCTAAAGCTACCTCATAGCAAAACAAGTAAAATAACTATCCTAAGTGAACCAACATGTACCATCACTAGCCAAAGCAATGCTACACGAACAGACTACACAAGTCACAGCCAATACTTATTTAGAGCTTCGAGTCTGTTGCACTTGGTCACACCAATCATTTTTGGACAATGTTCTTTGGAATTTAGAGCTCCTTACATGCCTTTAACCATGTTTTCTGGTCAAAAAGTGAATGTTTTAGCAGAACTGAAAGACATTAAAAGCAATAGATACTCGCATGCTAGCAAGAGGTAAACAAGTATCTCAGGCAGAAGCAGAAAATGCTAATCAGCTACTTCCTGACAGTTTCTTTCCCAAAGCAAGTACAAGCCACTTCAACATTCCTCAGCTTCACTCTCATGGCAATGCAGGCTTCAGAAGAGCTGTTAAGACAAGCTAAAATTATGCATATAAAAGATAGCTGCTTTATTCTCCCCAACATAACAGACCAGAGCATTATAGTTCTGTCAGCAACAGCTAACTGAAAGCAATAGGGTTACTGCCACATGTACACAGTGGCTGTTTTTGCAGTGCAGGAGTTTAATGCCAGCTTCTGCTATCAGCCACAGTAAGTTGAGACTTGATTCTAGCAAGCAATGCCCCCCCATTAAAGAATGCCATGCAGGTGAGGAGCCAAGGGTGCACACAGTCAAACTGGTCATGAGCATATTTAACCAGCAGTGCCCCAGCATTCCTATGTATAAACCTGTGTGAAAGTCTTTGTAAGTTCCTGTAACTTCAAATATACCCAGCATTACATCTCCCTGTTAAGACATTTTTCCCTCCCAATGTAGCTATCTTCACAAGTGCAGCCTCCACATGTTGAGTTCTTCCATCCTTGCACCTTGGATATTCAGTCTACTCTGCTGTAAGATCAGTAGCTAACACTCCACACCACCTGCTCTCAGTCTGAAAGAGATGGGAACAGTAAGCATTCCTGTCTCTCCACATTTCTGCCACTCCTGTCCTGACGTAGTATGCATTTCTGCACTGAACCACAGAAGTACCCCATTCCCACTAAAGTTCAATAGCCCTGTACGCAGCAATCCACACCAGCTGCTCCCTGCAACTACTTATACCACCAGTCCCTCAGTCAAGCCTCACCCCTCCTCACGTTCAATCCCTACAGCTTGGTTTTTAGCATAGCTTCTCACACCCCTGCACTATAACATCACCAACAGCTCTCTATCAATTCCACTTCCTGCACCTGCCAGCTAGGCCATCCTCTTCTGACACTTACATGTTCTGTCCAGCTGCATAATTACTGCAAAGAAGTCCAGCCTGGGATGTGTTCATCATATGGCCATACACCTCAGGTTTGCTATTGCACAGAACAATAAAGGGAAAGTGGGAGGGCAGGGTGCCTACAGTTGGTCACACCACACACCACTGGAGACCTGGTCCTGACTATAATCAGGTGTTACTCTGAGTCACCTCTAGTATCAACTAAAATTGCTGTGGGAGAGTGAAAATGAGATGCAGGGTCCAAAGGTGCTTACTCTTCCAAGTCAAAAAATACTAAACCTAAGGAGAAGTCCTGAAAGTTTTCCCAGAGAGCTTATCTTGTCTGGAGGAAGGAAGACCATATGGGTGCAAAACAAGCTACTTGACCTGTCCGATTGACTTCCGTAGCTGTCTTTCGTGTTAACTGTGAAGTGACAAGCTTTCATATAAAAAACAAATCATGTTTGTTAACAGAAGGAGAACGTCCCACCACAAGACCATTTGGTCACACTATTAAGAGGACCTTACCGCTTTGCTAAAGCAGTATTTTCTTCAGGTAGCACCTTACTAGGGGAAACACCTGACCAGTTGATTGGGTAGTGCTTTGTTTTTTTATATTTAACTACAACCTCCCTGAGCATATGCAAGACTTCATTTTGCTTGTATTGTCCTCCAGCAGAACAACGCATGCTGCATTTGACAAATACACCATTTGCAGACCTCTGTTGCGAAGGGCCAAGTAAGAGAAAAGGCCCTAGGAATGAAAGCCTCTAGTGCAGGATTCCCAGCATCGGGTAATACATCAAAATGGAGGCTACTGACCACAGACAGCACTGAAAGAAGTCCACTGCTCTCAGCAATAGATAAGATAGCTTTAATCCAATCTGCCAGATGGTGCGGACCTTAGCTGTAAACATGATTTCCAACACATATCAAGTCACCCTTGAACTTGGATTAGTCCAGTCATCAGCTGACTGCCAACAGTTACTACATAATTTAGTGGGTTTTGTTATTTTTTAATACAGAAGCTACCATAAACAGACTGAAGGTGCAACTGCCTGAATTCCCTAGCAGACACTGCTTCTAAAACTACCATCTTCATCTGAGGCTGCACGTTTTCAGTTTTTGCTTTGACTCATATACTAGAGAGGCAGGCAGTGTGAAGAGGAAAGCTTTGGCAATACTGGCTTTTTAACAGCTTATATACACCATTAGCCTCCACTATAAGAGGCATTATGTCCACTATTACAGGAGTCACTCATCTCATGACCACATACTTAAACTAGCTGAAGTACCGGTCCTTCTGCCCACCAGTGGGGACTTGAAAGGGACCAGTAAAGCACCCTGAAAATAGCCATTCTTCAAAAGCTAGTCCGTTTCTGAAGCGGTGTGTTAGGAAAGGGACCGCATGTAGCTAGCTGTCACACATCACTTCACAGATGTCACTCACAAACTTTCGCAGGTAATGGAGAAAGGGGTTTTGCTCTTTGTATCAGAGGAGAATACAAATCTGCTTTACTGAAAAACAAAATTAATCCAAAAATCCCAGTTGCACTGTACATTAATACTCTGAGTACTGCTGATGCTAAAGTTTTGTTGTTGGCTTCACTGTTGAGTCCACACTCTCCACGGATGAGCTACAAAACCGTGCTTTAACTACAGCAGGCGATTAACCATTGCTTACAGCTGGGAGGACAGTGGAAGCCTAGTCCACTTTCAGTTAGAGCAGGCTCTTCCTCCAAAGTCAGGTTTATTGACTCTCCATTTTTATCCTATTCCAGCCTGTACTCAAAAAGCTCAAACCTTACTCAAAAAG